GGTCGAATAGCTGTGCTTCTAAAAAAAAAGGTTACCTGCTGAAGAGACATCAAATGATTGGTATCCTTGTACTGAGAGCTCAATACGTCATCGTAACTTAAGTTAGTGCCAGAAGGAGCAGCAGCGGGGTTGATTGGGAAGTTCCCCGGGATAGCAGTTGTATTTCCGAAAGCACCATATCCAGAAGGAATACTGGCAGACTGTGGCAAGCTGTCGACAGAAGCACTATTCTTATATTGGGGGAGCATTGCCGCAAGCGACTGATGATAAGTGCTGTTACCAGGAAATGCTTGTTGGAATGCAGACGGCATGTATGGATAGTTCTGATGCATAAAGGGATAACTAATCATGTTGGCAAATGGTCCTAGTGGAACAGTTTGTTGAGCATATGGGTGTACAGTTAGATGTTGCGGTACGGCAGGTCCGGCGGCGACGCTAGCTCCAGAAAGCATCTGCTGCTGAGTAGGCTGTGCTGATGAAAAACCAACTGTCTTCAAAGCCTGCGGAAACACTTAACTATGACGCACCATTGCAACAAGAGCAAAGGGAGAAAACATTGGATGGATAATAAAGTATACTGTGAAATATCTATTGGATACAACCAGATGCATTACCTCAGGCATGGAAATTGTTGAGCCACTGATTGATGAAACTGAGTTGCCATATTTTGTTGGCATTGTTTGTGTTGTTGGATAAGGGGAATACGAAAGCTCCGACTCTCGACCAGGATGAACGTTACCAGCCAACAAGGTACTCTGCAAAGAATTTGTGTAGACCTACTCGAATGAAATAGCAAGAGAGAAAATTAGGTAGAGCAACAGATACTATTCTACGGCAGACAAAATGGTAACTCTGATCTCGCTAACATGCTTCTCTAGTAATTTTTTGATAAATGACGTGCTTCTTTACTGTTCTGTTGGGGGCATTACAGATATTCCGGTACTTGGAACAATTTTTATAATAAAATTTATTCATCAAAGTGCACCAACCACTATACACCTTCACAAAAGTTAACAAATAGTTTAGCTACTTGGGATTCGTAATCACTGAGGGTCAAGAATCAAGAGAATTAATGCTAATATATGTTAGAATATATATTAGTTAAAAGCTAGAAAACACCAAACTTACATTAAGCACTTGAAATACAGATTAAAGAGAATGAAACACTGTTGATATTATGTGTCTCCCCATTGCAAAGGAGCCACAAATATGAGTGAGTTTACACCGGACAGAAGACTTACAAGGACTAAAGTACTTTTCCTCCAAAATGCCAAAAAGGTAAAGGCTGAGTAACTGAGTAAGTTTATGTGACAGGATCAGACCCAGACCTCAGTGCATTACTTGAATATTATAAAATTACAAAGCTAAACTTCAAAATAAGTAAGCTGGTGACTCACGCCCAAGGGTGTGGCCTAGTGATCAATGAAGTGGGTTGAGACAAAAACACTAGGTGTTTTCTTCCCTCAGTCCAAACCTTAGTGGATAGAGTTATATAGTACCTGTTGCTAGTGAGAGGTAGCAGGTACCCGATGGAGTTAGTCGAGGTGCCCGCAAGATGGCCCGGCCGCCACGGTTATCAAAAAAAATTAAGTAAGCCGGTGACTCCTTATCAAAAAAGTTATCCGGCGACTTGCAGAAGTTTTTTTTCTATTAATGTACGAAACACCTCAATGCATTATTTTTATATTTTCAGGTAAAAGGTCCACACCAGAGTGCAAAAGAAGTATGAGTTAACGGTTTAAGTCTTTACTTCCAACATAGAACATGTATACCAAAGCTCTCGAGGGTAACGGAACACCTAACCAGAGAGGCCACAGAACCATGCAAAACTTTTCTTTATACATGCATCCTCCTCCACTAGAAAAGAAAGTCTAACAAACAGATAAGTCTATTCCACTCTTTCAAAACACTCTTAAAATATCATCCAGTGAGTAAAAAGGCAGATTGCAGAATACTAAGCTAACTAAGCTCCACATTAAAATGCCGCTTGCAACTCAAATGTTAACAAAATAGCAACTGCCAACTTTGCAACTCCTGATGCAGCAATTCCTTTCCTCAACGCCACTCATAACTAAATATCTTACAGAAGTCTCGCTCGCCGAATACACTTAAACTAAAGTCATCTTCAAACTTGAAGTTTTAATATTTGGAAATCTTCTTGCAAACAACAGGAAATGCATCCCAAGGAGAGAACAGGAAACCATTCTACATCCTGAACAAAAGGAAGAAAAAGTTTTCTTACTCACATTTGAAAAAGGAGCAAGACTCTGCATATGAGAACTTGTCTGTGGCTGACTAAATGCTGCATTCAATTGTTGAGCACTTTCGTATGAATAGCTAGCAGCAGAGGACGGATAGGAGTATTGATGCCCATGTTCACTAGTTTCTGCTTTCAGAGATTCTGGTTGTGCAGCAGATGGCAAATCGTAGTTTCCAGAACTTGCATTAGTTCTATGGAATAAATTACTATCAGACTCATTTCTGAGAGTTTCCTCGCCATAGTATTCAGAAGCCCTGCAAAATAATGTAATTTAACAATTAAAGAACTAGCCTTTCCCTATGCTTTGCACAGATATCTCTTGTTTTGTACATCTATACACGGAAAATATCTTTTTTTACTAAAGGAATCAGTTTCAAATATTGATAAAGAGAGCGTTGTGTATAAATTTTAGATGAGAAAATGTACTACATCATCATTTTAGTAGAAACAAAGATGTGATCGAGTTAACAGATTTACAAACCTGGTGCCCAAGTGCCCAACTGAAGAACTATCCGCATCCTTCGGTGCATCTTCCAAGCTAGTCTTCGCAGGGGCAGAGGCATGTGATCCAGAAAAGGACACACCACCAAAGCTACCAAAACTTAGGTGTGAGCAGTCCGCAGTTTGAACTTGAAGATGGTCTGGAATCAAAACGGACGGACCATCTCCATCAGATGGAAAACCCCGATCGTCCTCTATGCTTAGTTGTTGCAAGTTCGTAGCAACTGAAGAAGATGAGGCGTTAACATCTTCAACTGCCACAAGATAAAGAACAGTTCTTATATAAAAAAGAGCAGTACTTTAAAACATTTGAATGGCACAACTACTGTTGTACCAACAATCTAAAACAATTAGGTTTCTGATATGCTACATATCCATCGGTAGTAGATAAGACAAATGGACTGTCACAATGTTAGCATTACATAAAGATGGCAGTAAAGTAGCACATTAAGGGGCCGTTTGGCTTGGAGTTTAAGACATATAATCTCCACATATAAATCAACATAAGTTTATATAATGTTCGGTTGGGATTTGAGGAGACTTTAATCTCCAAATAGATATCAGTAATATTAATTAATACAATGTGTGGTTGCTCCTTTTTGTTTTTTCATAAATAATACCTGCATAAGTTATGCGGGCATCTATGTATTATTTTATGCGGGATAGAATGAGGAATAAGATTGCGGGCATTAGTAATACATGGATTAAAATGCTAAAATGATCAACGTAACCCTCATAATAGTAAGAAATTTTTAATTTTGTTTAAAAAGTAACAAATATTTTAGAGTATACTCTGTATACTAATATGTAATATATCAACCCAAACATTCAACAAGAAATAATCCACAATCCCTATATTACTATTCCTTCCATAACAATACATACATTACAATTGATGCGTAATCCCTGCATAACTTGATTCTGAACCAAACAACCCCCAAGTCTGCAGACCGTTAAGATGAACATTCATCACTTTCTACTAATTCTATCTTCCAATTTACGCAGATAAACAGATCTACATCTAACGATGCTAAAACACCAACCAATACCACCTCAATTAAACTAAAACAATGAGATTAATATGTTAAATGATAATATGCATATCTCATGCCAAACCAAAACACACATATATTCACCTTGCTGATGCTCAAAAGTGTGACTCTGGTGTTGATATTGGTAGAGGTCATTGTCATCGAGAGAAGCACTATCAGCATTATCCTCCTGCAACTTTCTACTGGAAAGAGAACTACCGAGATCTTCATTAGCACTGTCATCTCCCCCTTGTGCCTCGTCAATTTCAGTTTGGCGATCAATTCTGTCAAATGACACGTCAGATGGATCAGGATGTTGCACAAAATCAGTGGGAGGCTCCGAGACAGCAGGCTGGCTAGCAGCTGATGGCTGCTCAATTAACGGCCATTCATCGTTCGCAGATTGCTGCTGAGATGAATAATCCCCTGGTTCCTGATGTACCTCGTGAACCTTCATATGATCATCAGAAAACTGCACATTATGATGTGATGCACCATAAGGAGGTGGCGCCCGAACATCGTTTTGGTTGACACCAATATTAGTACGGTGAGATACGTTCGATACACTTGGCACTTGACTCTGTGGCCTACCCATTTTCACAATATCAGCCATTGATACTTGACCTGGCACCCCACCCCAAGTAGGTTGATATCCAGAAGAAGGCTGTGAAGCAGCTGAATGACCATCAACTGCCGCTGGCGCCAATTTTTTCCTTTCATTTCCAGCAGCATCACTGTAACACAATTCAAAAGCATAAAAAGGAAAATCAAAAACTAGCCAAACATCCCCAAAAATAATTTGAACAACTTAACGTGCATGGTTAAAAGGATAGATTACAACAACAACAACCCAGTATAGTCCCACAAGTGGGGTCTGGGGAGGGTAGTGTGTACGCAGACCTTACCTCTACCCCGATGGGGTAGAGAGGCTGTTTCCGATAGACCATCGGCTCAAGAAGACGAAAAGAGACAATATATCACTACCATCAATAAAAAACCATGGAAATAATAACGACATCACAAGAACCAGTGAATAAATGGAAAGCAGAAATAATAACCAGTAAATAAGGCCCTAAACTATGAAAACGGAAGAGTAATGAAAACACAACACTGACCACTAGCAGTCTAAGACTAAATCCTATCAACCCTCACACTGGTAGACAAAAAAGGATAGAATACAAGAAATAAATTTCTTATGAGTATATTCAACTTGATAGTTTGATTCAGCAATTAAAGATTATTACCGCTAATTAAATCTGGTTGTTCAAATATAGCTTTATTATGATAAGAACTTCTCATTAGTGCAAAAGAGGCATTGACAAACTTAATGGACCATGCTGCAGGGATTGATGGATTAGTACACAGTTACCACCGACAGTATCTGAAAGCAACTGATTGTCTTGTGAAAAAACAAAACCTTTTAACAAGACAACAGTACTAACCTGACAGCAGTTGGTCTCCTATCTATGTTACTTCCTAAAACTCCAGGGGTTGAAGAGAAGTTGTTTGTATGTGATCCACTTTCCTTTCTGTAAGCAGGAGCAGGCTTGGTAGACTCTGTCAAAGTTGATTACAAAACAAAATGATCCAGTATCAGACAACACAACAAATTAAACACAATTTAGACATAATTTCTCTTTCAGAAACTGTGCATTAACATGCATATACCTGACCCGCTACGCCCAACATATCGTTCCGCACCAGTCCTACTGGCACGACTTGACGTGCTACTAGAAACCCAGGACCTAGACTCAGTTGTATCCTTATTCTGAACCAAAGATGAACAGAAGTTAAGCGACAGATATGAACAGCTATTTGAGCAAGCAACATAACAACCCATTAAAAGCACTTTTTCAAGGTCAGTAATAAGCAAGCTACGCTTCAACAAAATACTGCTACGTATCAAATGGGATGTGTAATGCCGTGCCCCCAAGATTATACCAGCATATATATCAAATAAAAGGAAAAGTTAGAACACCAAAAATACAGAAAGCAGGACTCTATCAATATAAAAGTTTAAAGAATTCAAGAAATAAATTGGTTTGGAGTTTATGCTTTAGTAATGATTACGAACCTCTTTTCTCTTTTCTCGTTTGCTCTTCACCTCATGAAAAGTATCTAGCCAATTAATAAACATCAAATTAGAAGGTGATAAGAAATATCAACTTATTCAAGCAAGGAAGATTGACAAAATAGTAACAAAGTTTTTAGCACGATAACTACAAAGATGTCAGTTTAAGTAACTATTACCGAGCATAGGAAGAACATGATTAGCAACAGAAGTTCAAATTTTCTGCAGCTTAGGCATTGCAATAGTGCTGAAATCACCAGAAGAATCAATCTAATGCGTTTTCAGCGCCCAACACTTGATTCTTGCTCAATCTCAAAGGCAGCCTATCTAATCTCAAGATAAGTTCTAAATTATGTTCAAGTACGGCATTTATAAATAGTATCTGAATGCCACCTCTCATCTGACTGACACGTAAAATTTGTAATGGCTCACAAATCACTGATTTAGCTCCTACACTAATTAACAATAAGATTGGAAATTCACAAATACCTCGGAAAATACAAGTGAAAAGGTAGCCATCTCAAAACCGGTCCGTAACATAAGGACGAGTCAAGGATCGTGCCAAACATTATTTACACCAAAAGTTCTTCTGAGATTTTTTCAATATGCATGCCATCAAATCATATCGTTTTGTTTTTCGATAACTATGGTGTCCGGGCTAACTTGCACGCATCTCGACCAATTCCACGAGGTACTTGCTATCTCCCACCAACACGTAGCGGGTAACTCTGTCTACCAAGGCTTGGACTACCATAAAATCAAATCTTGTATTGACCAAATCGATATTTCTCCATAATAAAAGTTACAAAGCATTACAAATACAGAAACTTCACGGATATACAAGAATCCATTATATTTAATTTTACTTTCTTAGACAAAAGCTTGGCTACAAAGAACATTAAACTCGGACACAGGACACCACAAATGAATCAAACAAAGATAGAAATTTTGCAAAGCATAAAAAGAGAAATAATTTATTCTTCTTTTCTTCATCCACTTATTCTTACAACCCCATACCTTCATGTGTGTATGTCTTTCAAACAAAACACATATTTTTAACATACTTGCTACTACAATTCTCAAAGAGAACTGGAAAAGAAAAGCGGTTACTTTAGTATATAATCTGAAAACTACAATATTCAAGAAGAGAAGTTTCTTTACTATATAATCTGAAAACTGAAAAATTGCATGAACACAATACTAAAGAACCAAAAAATACCAAAATACCCATAAAATAATTACAAAAAACAACTAAAAAGAGTTTAATTTTAACATAATATTCGTTACAACAATATTCAAGAAAAGAGGTTACTTTACTATATACTCGAAAAACTGAAAAATTGCATGAACACAACTAAAGAACCAAAAAAAATACCCAATACCCATAAAATTAATTACAAAGAAGAACCAAAAAGAGTTTAGATTTAACCTTGAGAGAGAAGCTTATTGACGGCTTCATTAGGGTCCATATTACAATCTTTGAGCACAGCATAGATCTCAGCTTCAGTACAGAAATTAACAATTTCCTTTAAACTTTGTACCATCTTTTTTGAACCTCCTGGTATTATTGATTCTACTCCAATTCCTCCTCCATTTTTACTACTACTGTTTTTTCCTCTGCTACTACTCATCCTCCTTTACTCTCTCTTTCTCTCTCTCTGTAAAATAGTAAACAGAAAAACAGAGAAGTGTATTCTACTCCAGTAGATCTATTTCAATTAGAAATACAATCAATTTTGCAGTTGAATTTTGAATTGACGGCTTCGGTTATGGCTTTGTTCTTCTAGTGGTGAAAGGTGAAAAGAATCCGCGGCGAAGAGGATATATCTAATGAGAGGAAGTTTTGGTTTTATTTTTGGTTTTTATTTTTGGTGGAAAATCCCTATTAAATTCTTGTTTTCTTTTCTCTCTTTAATAATAAGAGTAGTTAATATAAGAGGGCAAAATACAAAATTATCCTAAAGATCGACATAATTTTGCTCTCTAGTCAAAAGTATATAAAGAAAATTGTATTTTATATGTATAATATTTATATTTATACACAAATATTATATATAATTACGATTATTATTTTTAAAAGCAATCAAAAATATTTTGGACTTCCTCCCTTCTTTGCAATTTTTGATTTTGGTAACTATCTTCATTATTTCAACTATAATTTGAAATATTATTTATAAATTGATATTTACTAAGTCATACCATGAAAGTCTGGGAGAGGGTGGTGGAAGTGAGGATAAGGAGGGCGGTGTCTATATCGGAAAATCAGTTCCGGTTCATGCCGGGCCGTTCTATTACAGAAGCTATCCACCTTATCAGGAGGTTGGTGGAACTATACAAGGATAGGAAGAGGGATTTGCATATGGTGTTTATTGACCTAGAGAAGGCATATGACAAGGTCCCTAGGGACGTCCTTTGGAGGTGTCTGGAGGTGAAAGGTGTGCCGGTGGCTTACATTAGGGCGATAAAGGATATGTATGATGGAGCTATGACTCGGGTTTAGGACTGTGGGAGGTGACTCAGAGCCTTTTCCGGTGGTTATGAGATTACACCAAGGTTCTGCGCTCAGCCAGTTCTTATTTGCTCTGGCGATGGACGCACTGACACACCATATCCAAGGAGAGGTGACATGGTGTATGTTGTTCGCTGATGATATAGTCCTGATTGATGAGACGTGGGGCGGTGTTAATGGGAGACTGGAGGTATGGAGGCAGACTCTAGAGTCTAAAGGTTTCAAGTTGAGTAGGACTAAGACAGAATATGTGGAATGTAAGTCCAGCAACGTGACAGGAAAAGCGGATGTGGAAGTCAGGCTTGACTCACAGGTCATCCTCAAGAGAGAAAGTTTTAAGTACTTAGGGTCAATTATCAAGGGAGATGGGGAGATCGACGGGGATGTTACGCACCGTATAGGAGTGAGGTGGATGAAATGGAGGCTAGCGTCTGGAGTCCTGTGTGAAAAGAATGTGCCACAGAAACTCAAAAGTAAGTTCTATAAAGTGGTGGTTAGACCGGCCATGTTGTATGGAGCTGAGTGTTGGCCAGTCAAGAATTCACATATCCAGAAGATGTGTAGGCATGTAAATTTTATGAAAATTAAATCCATGAAATAATGTGGACTATATTTTAAATTCAAGATATATTGATCCAAATAAATATATGGGCTAATATAATTGAATTAATTATATAAGTCCAATATATATGGATTAAATAAATAAGTCTTAATCCATTGGGCTAGCCCATTTAATTAGGCTAAAGTAATGAACCCACTTCATTAAGCCCAAGATGTCATCTTCCTAGAGGCCCAGTTTGGTGCCACGTGTCAAATGACGTGGCACGCCAAGTCAAATGGAAGAGCCAATAGGACCATGCCATGTGTCAAAATGACAAGGCATGCCCAGTCACACTGAAAGGCCAATGAAATCGTGCCACGTGTGCAAGTGACATGTTCTGGCCAATCAAATGCGGCCATGTCACTCTTCAATCTGATTGGTCGGAAAGAGTTTGTTCTTATCATAACTCTTCCCTTCCACAACTATAAATAGGGGTCTTCATAACCCAAAAAAGGGACCAGAAGTTATAACAAGAAGCAAGAGAGAGCTCGTGGATCAAACACCGCAAATTTCTCTATAAGTTTCAAGCTTAAAGCAATCAAGTTCAAGTTCAAGAAATAAAGTTCAAGCTCAAGAACGAAGAACGAATCAAGATCAAGTTCAAGCAATCAAGCTCAAGCTCAAGCTCATGAACAAGATCATCGTTCGTGGAAACAAATATAGATTCAAGATCAAGCTCAAAGGCCCTTGAATTTATTCACAATTGGAAAGAAGAATTAGAGGATCCATAGAGATTGTAACACTCAAATATTCGAAATAAAATACTACGATTGTTGCGATATTTTCGGTCTTGATTTTATTTTCTCAACGCAAATTTATTGTCTACAAATTCTGGCACGCCCAGTGGGACAATCTCTACCTCTCATCTCAACTTTTTAATCACCAAAGTTCAAGAACATTGAAATGGCTTCAAAGAAAATCAACTCCAGATCAACATTCACCAAGGCTGCTAACTCCAGGTTCTATGCTGATGTGGAAAGCATCCTCGATGTTACCTTTGGAAGCTTCGGACCAGTTACGAGGAGCAAAGCAAGCTCTTTAGGACAACAAGCACCCCAAGTGTCGTCCGCATCAACCCCTGTTTTCGGATCTTCATCATCAGAAGGAGCAAGATCTTCCACAAACGCACCTGAAGGAGGAAGCGATGTTGCTGAAAAGATCAAGAAAACTCTTGCTCTGCTTGACCTCTCTGGATCCAAGCACTCTGCTATGAAGGAAGATGATGATGCTTCAAGTGATGGATCCTCCCCACTTACACCACATAGCGTGAGCCAATCAAGGATCAATCTATATGAAAATCCATGCTACTCTCCATCGTCCACGACAATCATGCAAGCAATGGTTATTGAAGCTTCTACTGTAGAAGAACAACTTGCAAATTTGACAAAAGCAATTGAAAGCTTATCAAAGCACATGCAAGATCAAGATGCTAAACTTTTGAAGTTAACAAATACATTGGATAGCATAGTAGAGGGAGAATCGACACAAACACCTTTAAATCTTCAAAGATCACAAGAGAAAGAAGACTCCTCTGAAAAGCAAGCAACGACAACCAAGGAGATTCAAGTCTCCGCTGAAGGTCTGATTCCCGCTGGGAAATTAAAGGACTTCATCATGGAATCTATCAAAGATAAACGTGAGTCGTCAAAATTATCACTCACATATGCAAAGCCGTATACACAAGGAATTGATAACTTGAAGATGCATGTTGGTTATCAACCTCCTAAGTTGCAACAATTCGACGACAAGGGAAATCCGAGACAATATGTAGCACACTTTGTTGAAACTTGCAACAATGCTGGAACGTATGGAGATTATCTTGTCAAACATTTTGTTGGATCTCTCAAAGGTAATGAATTCGATTGGTACACATATCACGAATCTGGGTCCATCGATAGTTGGGAGCAGTTGGAGCAAGAGTTTCTCAATCGTTTCTATAGCACAAGACGCATTGTAAGCATGATCGAACTTACAAATGCTCATCAAAGAAAGGATGAGCCAATTATTGACTTTATCAATCGTTGGAGGAGCATAAGCCTTAACTGCAAAGACCGCCTTAGTGAAACTTCTAGCATAGAAATGTGCATTCAAGGCATGCGTTGGGGTCTTCGCTATATCTTACAAGGCATAAAGCCCAAAATATTTGAAGAACTAGCAACTCGTGCTCATGATATGGAACTAAGTATGGCCATAAGTGGAGACCAAGAGCTATATGTCTTTGAGCCTTACGGCGAAGAAGAAGAAGAAGAAGAAGAAGAAGAAGAAGAAGAAGGCGAGGATGGGGGCAAGTTTTCATCCGAGAATGAAAGTGAAGAGTCTATGCATGTCACTACGCTCCTCGACGTACGAGCCTAAACTGCAAGTCATAATTCTCCTTAACGCATGAGCCTAAACTGCAAGTTATAATGCTCCTCAATGCATGAGCCTAAACTGCAAGTTATAACGCTCCTCAAAGCACGAGCCTAAACTGCAAGTTATAATGCTTCTTGGCACATGAGCATATATTGTATGTATCGAAGCTCCCCAATTTTGAACTAAATCTTTAAGACGTGAAGCTCTTCAAATTCGAGCAAAGTGTTCAAGTTGCAAAGTTCTTCAAATTCGAGCAAAGACTCAAGTCGAAAGCTCTTCAAAGTCGAGCAAAGACTTCAAGCTGCAAAGCTTTTTAAATTCGAGCCAAACTTCAAGACGTAAAGCTCTTCAAATTCAAACAAAGTGTTCAAGTTGCAAAACTCTTGAAATTCGAGCAAAGACTCAAGTCAAAAGCTCTTCAAAGTCGAGCAAAGACTTCAAGTTGCAAAGCTTTTCAAATTCGAGCCAAACTTCAAGACGTAAAGCTCTTCAAATTCAAACAAAGTGTTCAAGTTGCAAAACTCCTCAAATTCGAGTAAAGACTCAAGTCGAAAAACTCTTCAAAGTCGAGAAAAGACTTCAAGTCGCAAAGCTTTCCAAATTCGAGCCAAACTTCAAGTTGCAAAGCTCTTCAAAATTGAGCAAGTCTTCAAGTTGTGAAGCATTTCAAAACATAAGCTAAATCTTCAAATTATTACGCTACTGCCACGATCCTAAACTACATGTCTTTAAGCTCTTCAAATTTGAGCAAAATCTTCAGGTTGCAAAGCTACTCAAAATACGAGCTTAAATTGCAAATCGCTACGCTCCTTGGCGCACGAGCCTAAACTGCATATTCTTACACTCCTGGCTCGCATGAGTCTAAACTGTGTACGGCCCACCAAAAACAAACAAAAAAGGGTCCGCTAGGTTGAAAATCTCGAAAGAGGAAGCCTAGGCAAAAGTTAGGACATAAAAAAATCACCTATTCTGAACTACTGTATGACCTGATCCTCTTCACCGAGGGGCAAGCCACCATAGCAAATTGGCATCTCCGATGGATGTAGNCCCGACATCGGGGTGTCACTAGTCATGAGCATCTATCAAGGTCTGAATACAGTTGGAGCAAGAGTTTCTCAATCGTTTCTATAGCACAAGACGCATTGTAAGCATGATCGAACTTACAAACGCTCATCAAAGAAAGGATGAGCCAATTATTGACTTTATCAACCGTTGGAGGAGCTTAAGCCTCAACTGCAAAGATCGCCTTAGTGAAACTTCTAGCATCGAAATGTGCATTCAAGGCATGCGTTGTGGTCTTCGCTATATCTTACAAGGCATAAAGCCCAAAACATTTGAAGAACTAGCAACTCGTGCTCATGATATGGAACTAAGTA